CACTCGGATGTGCGGTTTGTTCAATGGAGAATGACTCGGAATTGTTAATCGGAGAGCCGAGTTCCAATTCCACTTGTTTTCGTTATATTCACTTATACTCAACAAAAGACAGCTGAAATTTCTAGGGCACATCATGAGGAAGGGCGGCTTTGAAAATCTGGTACTCACAAGGACAGATTGAAGACATGTGGGACAGAGGAACCTTTCGACCAACTCTCTCTCAAAAGGTGAGCTTTATTTATTAATGTGTTTTTTATTGTTTCTTGCGCTCGCCAACATTCACATTTTGAGAAAGTGTTGGCCGAAATGGTTCACTCAAGGTAAAATAATGACGTCCATTATATATATATATATATATATATATATATATATATATATATATATATATATTACAATGAATCATTCATACAAAAAGTAGATTAGTAAAGTTAATTATATAAAATGGCGAAATACCTTCGCAAACAAAATTTAAAATTTCCTTTAACCTACAAATCACTCGATGAACATTATAATCCTTGTTTTTTAAAGTTATAAGCGGCATAAGGTCTTTCTTTAATATGCAAGTACTTTCAACTGTACATTCAGTCATCTTCAGACATGGAAATTATTTTGTTTTTGGTAAAATTCAGGTAGCATCCGATATACAGCTTAAAATTTTTAAAAACATGAATCATAATATTCATCTAATGATTTGTAGGTTAATGCACCTTTAAAATTTTGTTAGCGAAGGGATTTCGCCATTTTATATCATTAACTTTACTAATCTACTTTTTGTATGAATGATTCATTGTAATATCAATTGAGCTGCACCATATATTTGATATATATATATATATATATATATATATATATATATATAGAGAGAGAGAGAGAGAGAAAGAGAGAGATAGAGAGATAGATAGATAGAGAGAGATATATATAGAGAGAGATATAGAGAGATATATATAGAGAGAGATATAGATATATATATATATATATATATATATATATATATATAGAGAGAGAGAGAGAGAGAGATAGAGAGAGAGAGATAGAGAGAGATAGAGAGGGAGATAGAGAGATATAGAGAGAGATAGAGATATTTAGGCAAATGTTCTGTTTATAATAAACAGTAATAGTTACGTTTAGAGTCCAGAATTCGTAGAAATTACATGTCTTTGAGAGGAATTGGTCCTGTATCCTACACGGAACCGTCATTTGGCCTGACACGCTATAAAATTTAGCTACACATGAAGCGTCTAGTTAGCAAAGTCAAATTACTGTTTTTGCACAAAGAAATTTCCCACGAAATACATACATATATATATGGGATAACGATTTTCTAAGAAATGATGTATAACAAATTGGAAAAAGTTTTGTAACCAGTTTCATCCCTAAGGACTTCATTGGACTGGATTTGTTGACATTGTTGTGGCTACGCATGCGCATAAACCAGAGATCTTTCTTTTTCGAATATCGTTTTCAACGCATGAATGACACTTTCTGGATATATTTCCCCTCATTTGTGCGTGTGTAAATCCGCCTGCCTACTTATACAAGTCTTTGATGAACGCATTTGGAGATTGTTGGTCCATTCATATCGTTATTACTCCGCTGCCGAAAATAATCCGAGCAGGGTCATCAATTTCATTTTCGGAAAATTAAATTTTTATACTATAGAGCAAACAGCACGATCATAGGAAGCATTGGACTGTGTTCAGCCATTCAAACAAAAGAGAAACACGAGTAAAGAAAGAAATGAAATGAAATGAAATAAATAAAGAAACTAAAACAGGGTGAGTAAAGAAGGAAATGAAACGAGAAAAAAGAAACAAAACGGGGTGAATAAAGAAAGAAACGAGGCGAAACTAAACGAAAAAGAAACAAAATCAGGGTCGGTAAAGAAATAAATAAATCGAAACAAAAAAAGAAACAAAATAGGGTGAATAAAGAAAGAAGCAAAACGAAACAATAAAAAGAAACAAAAACAGGGTGAAGGAAGAAAGAAATGAATCGAAAGGAAAACGAAACAAAAGCTGGGTGAGTAAAGAAAAAATGAAACGAAAGGAAAAGAAACAAAAGAGGGTAAATAAAGAAAGAAGCGAATTGAAACGAAAAAAGAAGCAAAAACAGTGTGAGTAAAGAAAAAAGAAACGGAACGAAAAAAGTAACCAAACAGGGCGAGTAAAAAAAAAAGAAATGAGAGGAAATGAAATAAATGAAGAAACAAAAACAGGTACAGTACAGAAAGAAATGAATCGAAAGGAAAAAGAAACAAAATCAGGTGTGTAAAGAAAGAAATGAAACTAAACAAAAAGGAAACAAAAGACTCGCTGCCTTTTTGTTTCTTTTTGTTTCTAAATAAAGAATCAAAGCGAAGCGAAATGAAAAAGAAACAAAACCAGAGTGACTAACGAAAAAAAGAAACGAAACGAAAAAAGAAAACAAAACGGGGTGAGTAAAGAAAAAAATGAGAGGGAATGAAACAAAAAAGAAACAAAAACAGAGTGACTACAGAAAGAAACGAAACGAAAAAGAAACAAAACGGTGAATAAAAATGAAGCGAAACAAAAGTAAAAGGAAACAAAAACAGGGTGTGTAAGAACAAATGAAACGAAAAACGAAAAAAAAATAAAAAACAGGGTGAATAAAAGAAGGACGCGAAACGAAACGAGAGAAGGAACAAAAAACAGGGTGTGTAAAGGAAGAAAGAAACGAAACGAAAGAAGAAACAAAACAGGGCAAAGGAATAAATGGGCGAAACGAAAAAAACAAAACAGGGCGACTAAAAAAAGAAATGAAACGAAAAGAAAAACGAAAAAATAACGGGGTGAATAAAAAAGAAGCAAAATGAAACGAAAAAAGAAACAAAAACAGTGTATGTTAAGAAGGAAATTAAACGAAATGAAAAAAAATAGGGTATTTAACGAAAGAAATGAAACGAATAAAGAAACAAAAACAGGGAGAGTAAAGAGAAAAAAACAGAGTGAGTTAAATAGAAATGAAAAAAGAAACAAAATGGGAAGATAAAGAAAGAAACGAAACGAAAAAGAAACAAAGCAGGGTGAATAATAAAGAAGCGAAACGAAACGAAAAAAGAAATAAAAACATGGTGAATATAGAAGGAAACGAAGAGAAACAAAAAACCGACAAAACCAGAGTAAAATAAGAAAGAAACAAAACAAAGAAAACTGGGTTAGTAAAGAAAGTAACGAAACAATGCGAAACGAAAAAAGAAACAAAAACACGGTGATTAACGAAAGAAACAAAACGAAACGAAAGAGAAATAAAAAAATAGGGTGAGTAAAGAAAGAAATGAAACGAAATGAAAAAGAAACTAAACTGGATGAATAAAGAAAGAAGCGAAACGAAACGAAAAAAGAAACAAAAACACGGTGATTAACGAAAGAAACAAAACGAAACGAAAGAGAAATAAAAAAATAGGGTGAGTAAAGAAAGAAATGAAACGAAATGAAAAAAGAAACTAAACTGGATGAATAAAGAAAGAAGCGAAACGAAACGAAAAAAGAAACAAAAACACGGTGATTAACGAAAGAAACAAAACGAAACGAAAAAGAAATAAAAAATATAGGGTGTGTAATGAAAGAAATGAAACGAAATGAAAAAAGAAACTAAACTGGATGAATAAAGACAGAAGCGAAACGAAACGAAAAAAGAAACTCAAACATGGTAAGTAACGAAAGAAATGAAGCGAGAAACGACTCAAAACATGGAAAGGAAGAAGGAAAGGAAGCGGAAAAAGAAACATAAGCAGCGTGAGTAATGAAATAAATGAAATGAATAAAGAAACAAAAACAGGGTGAGTAAAGAAAGAAGCGAAACGAAAAGAAAGAAAAGCGCGGTGAGTAAAGAAACGAAACGAAAAGAAATAAAAGCGCGGTGAGAAAAGAAGCGAAACGAAAAAAAAAACAGCGCGGTGGGTAAAGAAACGAAACGAAAAGAAATAAAAGCGCGGTGATTAAAGAAAGAAACGAAACGAAAAAAGAAACAAAAACAGGGTATCCTATAATGATGGGAACCATTTCATTTGTAAGCAACTCACATTTTTTTCAATCCAAGATACTTGTATTTAAAATGCGTCCCGTCATTATGGGAACACCCAGAGGAGAATAATCAGGCACTGTGCCAGCTGAAGTGTATTTTCCATGGCGTGACGAACCATGGACCACTTCAAATAATTCGCAGCCAATGCTTTTACAAAATACCTCATTATTTCATTATTATTTACCTCATTATTTCAGTTACTTTGGAAGCGCGGTCACCACCATGAAGAGAAAATGCATGAGATCGGTCTCATATTTCAAACACGGTGCGGCTTGCCATTTCAATTGGAATGTCTGCGATACGTCTACGGATGATTTCTTTTAGTTCTACAACTGTGTGAGACATTGTGTTAGAAATGAGGGAGGCGGGATGCTTACTCGTTCTCCCACGAAGGCGAGATGTGACAAAAGGTCTTTTAAAGTGAGGAACCCGATCGCGTACACCCGGGCAAGGGACAAAAATTGCCCACAGCCCTCACAACCGTTATATTAAGATTTTTGTTTGTTTTTTTTTTCTCAATATTTTTCTTCATATTGTCGGATCTATATCCATATATTTGCTTACATACTGTCTACTGGAAATACAAACCTGAATTTACTTTATAACATGGAAGACTTCAAGCTTGTCCGAAAATATAAGAATCTATTGATCTCCGCGCATTCCTGTAAGAAAGGAAAGTATTTCTTAACGAACTGTTTATATGAGAAAATTGTTCCATCGAGCTTATCTAATATTTTGAAATCATTTTTGATTTACTTTATAACATGGAAGACTTCAAGCTTGTATGAAAAACCGAAGAACCTATTGATCTCTGCGTATTCCTATAAGAACGGAAAGGATTTCTTAACGAACTGTTTATATGAGAAAATAGTTCAATCGAGCTTATTTAATATTTTGAAATCATCTTCCAATACGTTTTCACAACATCGCCCACGTGACGACAACGTGATCATATT